TTTTTGTTGTTGTATGCAGTTTCTAGCAAACTTTAATAAATTTTTTTCTATTTGTGAAAATTTCTACGTAATTCAAAGGTAATTTTCATTATATATCTTACACAGCAATATTAATATGATTTTGGATGATACATAACTTTAAAATTACTTTTAAAAATGAAAAATAATTATATAATTTAATTTCAAGATATTTTGTATACCTTAAAAATAATTGATTCTATCCGGGATAAGCAAAAGACCGGGAAATGAGAAACCCTAACTTCCATCATACTTTTTTTTACTCTTTCCGCCCTGTGGGCACTAAGAGGGCCTCTTTTTGCAGGCCCATTATGGGTTCGGCCAGGCCCACAATGGGGATGCCGGGTGGTGAGGGACCACCCCCGAAAAATTCCTGGGGATTTTTCGACCCGTTCGGATTCGAACCCGGGTCCCCCAGAGCGGTAGGCTGTCACCTTGACCGCTTGGCCATCAGGCCGCTACTTCCATCATACTGAGAAAATCTACCACGCGGCCTTGGTAAGATACATCAAATAAGAATTATAGCCAAAATAAGCCTAATAATTTATATAAGGGGCAGCATTTCGAAGACTTGCATCGTACTGAGAAAATCTACCGCGCGACTCTGACCGGATGATAAGAAACAGGGCCCAATATACCACTACTGAAAAAAATTACTGGTGTTTTACGATCTCCAGGATTCGATTCCGAGTTTTTTGAGAGTCAGGCTCATGCTTTAACATAATGGTTTTTAAAATTTCAAACGTTAATAGGGATGCAAGGTAAGGTCGGCAAAATTTCGAGGGCCGACTCTGTACTTCGATCTACGGAATCTGTGCTTCGAATAACGCTACAGTTTATCTTACTAAGTTATAGTGTATATTATTTATGAAAAAATTTTGCAAATTAATAATTTCCTTTAGAAATAATAGAAATAGTGTTGCATACAATATGCATAATTTACAATTTGGAATATGAGGAATACTCCTCTTTTAACCTGATAACGCGGAACTGCAACTTCGATAATTTCATCATAAATACAGCTAAATTTTTTACATTCCTGCGTGTTAAACATAATGTGATTTCTACAAAACATTATTCATTTACAGAATCTATAAAAATGCAAGGAATTAAATTACTAAATATAAATTATTTGTAACTAGTACTCTGGTTTGTTAGTAAAATATAAGCTACTTTTTTAAATGTATTATCTTACCACTGTTATGTATTCTGAAACATCGTTTCTTTTCCTTATCCATGCTGTTTAGCCTCATCAAAGACCGTGCTCACGAGTGATTCTAAGAGGCAAACAGCTAAGTAAGCAAAGTACCCGTTTCGTTTCATTGGTTTGCTTTACTTACTGCTTGCCACCTAGAAGAACAGTACCTCATGACTTCAATGTGACGAATCAGCGCATAATTTACAAAACCGAACATGGCCTTGTATTGTACCTATCTCATACGCTATCGATGCCTCGCATCAAAACTGCAATCGAGTATTATAATGTTTCTGTAATCTTTTTTAAGTTTAAAATTAAAGTTTAAATTAATAACATTTGTTTACAGCCATTTTTCAACTGTGAAATACAAGTTTTTTGTTTGTTTGTTTGTTAATTCCTATGCGCTGAACACGAAAATGAAGTTAAAAATTTCCTGGCACGTAAGGCTTTCGAATGCAAACGACTTAATATACCTCTAGTTGATCCTAAAAATGTCTTGTTTACCCCAACGCATATAAAACTTAAATTAGGCCTAATAAAAACCTTTCTCAAAGCACTGACTAAAGAAGGTGTTG